TACATGTATTTGTAAATGATAGATAAATATCTTAAAGGCTGGTAATATTATGAAAATTTAATCCAGAGAAAATTAGGTAAGTAGTTTTGCTTCCAGAGAGGTCCAGATTCCATCATCTACAGAATTTAAATTTCTATCAAACTTTTTGTACTAGAAAATCTTGGATGACTATATTTCACTCATAGATAAAGAGATTTTAAAACTTGAAGAACCTCAGTTATCAATTTTTTTCTTTTGAGGTATAATTGATAAACATTATGTTACTCTCAGGCATACAAACTGATTCTATATATTCTGCAAAAGTGACTAAATATGTCTACTTAGCACTCATCACCACATATTGAGACTTATTTTTTCATTTTCTACTATTAGCAACTCTAAATTATATAAAACAATATTTATAGTCTTTCATATTATGTCTCCATGACTTATTATATAAATAATGTACATAATTCCTCCATATCTAGTGGACATATATACACATATATATCATTTATCTTCTCAAAGAACAATCACTTCATTTCACTGAGACTTTCTGTTTTGTTCTACTTTATTAATATCCAGATGTTGGGGTCTTCTCCAGGCCTCTGTTCAGCACGCTCACTTTTCCAGCAAGGGGCCGCCGTTCAGGGTCCTGAGGATAGAGCCCAGCTACCTTCCAGCTAAAGGGAGGGGTTCCAAGAAAAAGAGCAAACCTTGCAACTGCCTCCTCCAGGAAAAAGAAATAAGCACACAAGCGCACAAGCACAGTAGGGGTCCTGTACAGCAGATCCACTTTATTGAGGGCCATCAAACCTTTATATAGTTTTGAAGAGGATGGTGGGAAAGTGTAACTGGTCACGTACACAGGGTGGTCAGAACAAACACATTTCCTATAGATGGGTCACACCTTCACCGTACATTTGCCAGAAAACATCCTGTCCCCAGGTAACACTGACCTGTGATGTACATTGCAACAGGCTTCCCTTCAAAGCAGACCAAAAGGTGCCTCTCTCCCACATATCTGTCCGCTGAGCCCAAGGATTAGTGTTACACTTCAAAGCAAGACAAAAGGGGCTTTTCTCCTAACACATCGCCCAGACATGAGCCCAAGGGTTAGTGTGGCACTTCAAAGCTGACCAAAGGGGGCTTCTCTCCCAACACTTTATCTTTTCCATTCTTATTTTTTTTTCAAGTCCGTTGGGGTTTGAGGATTTCATTCTTTTTCTTTTTCAGTCCCTTGAGATGTTTTTAGTCCGTTGCGGTTTATTTCAGATCTTGATTGTATCTTGATGTGGGCATTTAACCTCATGAACTTCCCTTAGATAACCGCTTTTGCTTCACCCCATAGCTATTGATGTGTTGTTTCCAGTTTCATTTGGTCAGTATAATTTGTGGAGGAGAGTTTGGGCCACACCTCATTGTGCAGAAGGACTATTCCCAACTCTGTGCTCAGGAGTTATCCCTGGTGGTGATCAGGACGCCAAATGTGGTACTAAGGACTTGAACTGAGCTTCACGGGATCCAAGACAAGGACCTTAACTGCCATACTATGACCCTGAACCTCAGTATAATTTATTTTTCTTTGAAAACCTCTTCAACCCACAGTATATTAATAACCTACAAGTATGTTAACCCCCTGAATACTTTTAATTTTTCCTTATAATTTATTTTTAAATTTTTAAATTGTTATTTTAAATTATTATTAAATTATTATACCTTTGAGCTCAGAAAGTGTAAAAATAATATTTTTTAAAAAGTTTATTTAGCCCTATGATTTCAATACTGTCAGGACTATAGGATTTCATGCATGCAAGCTTTCCCCACATTTTCTCCTCCACTATCATACACCCTCCTCAACTGTCCTCAACACCATTCTCCTATCCATCTGCCTACCATTAAATGCTCAATTCTATAAACCAACTCTTACATTCTATTGCTTTTGGTTATCCCATTATCCCAATGCTATGCTTTTTCATATAACCTTATTATTCTTTAAGTGTATTCATAATTGTTTTGTAATCAAAGATATGATCTCTGCTGCGGGATGTTACCTGTGTGATTGAGAAGAATGCCTGTTTGGCTGCAACTGGGTAATATATTCTTCAATATTTTTTAAGTTCATTTATCTAACATTTATCTAACGGCAGAGCCTGGCAAGCTCCCCGTGACGTATTCGATATGGCAAACACAGTAACAACAAAGTCTCCAATGGAGACGTTACTGGGCCCGTTTGAGCAAATCGATGATCAACGGGAGGGCCTTTACCTTTACCTTTATCTAACTTGTAAAGGTCAACATTTTATTCTGTGTATATGACCACTCCTTTGTAGAAAGTGGTCAAAAGGCAATGTGGTTCTATCATACTGAATTCTATTTCTTCTTTTGGATTATTATATTTACTTATATACTTAGGTGCTCCTACATGGGGTGCAAAAATATCTCATTTTCCTGTTGCATTAAATCATTTTCACTGTGTAATGGCATTTTCATTATGTTTTTTTTTTTGTTTGTGAGAAGGCTTTTATTTATGTTTCCACAAGCCATAGCACATTTTTCCCTCCCATCATAACATTAAAACTTGTTTTTGCACTTTGACAAACATTCCTATCTTTTATTTTTATTTATTTTTTTTATTGCTATTGAATCACTGTGGGAAAGGTTACAAAGCTTTCAGGTTTAGGTCTCAGTCATGCAAATATCAAACACATTTCCCTTTACCAATACTTATTTTTTACCATGAAGAACCCCAATAAAACCCCACCCCCCACCCCTTCCAGTCCCTGTGAGGCAGATGAATGCTAGTTAACACTCTATCTGCTTTGATTAGATTCACTGTTTCAATAAAAGATTCACCACTATTATTTAGAGTTTACCCCCACCCCCCAAATCAGACATGCTGAAAAAGCATTGTGAAGTGATTTGTTTTCTACAGCTGGGTTCAAGAATTAAATGTTGGTTTTGGATTTCTGCTATTTTACCTATTGACCCTGGAAGTATTTCTACTGAAAGTCAGATAGTTAAGAAATTGGTTTCTGTGTTCTGGAGTCGTGGCCGTGCTGGAGAGCCGCTCGTGGTGGGCAATTGGTGGCCTTGGTAGGGCGTGAAGGGCAGACCGAAACGCCCCCCTTCCCATGAGGTTTTAGTCGCCCCCACACCCCCGGCTCATACCTGCTGTCCACAAGGCTCCCATGTGGCCGCCATCTTTCTTTCTAGAGGAAGGAGGGCGGAAGGGAGCAACACCCTTTCCCCTCCGGGCAGACATGATGGCCTGGATTAACGCATAGTCCGTTCACTTTTCTGCTCCAAGCTGCTGGTTTCTGCATTAAGAACTTGTGCTTCTGGGGCTGTGGCCGTGCTGGAGAGTCGCTCGTGGGGGGCAACTGGTGACCTCGGTAGGGCGTGAAGGACGGACCGGAACACCCCACTTCCCATGAGGTTTTAGTCGCCCCCACACCCCCGGCTCATACCTGCTGTCCACAAGGCTCCCATGCGGCCGCCATCCTTCTTTCCAGAGAAGAGAGGGCGAATGGGGCAACACCCTTTCCCCTCCGGCAGACTTGATGGCCTGGAATAACGCATAGTCCGTTCACTTTTCTGCTCCAAGCTGCTGGTTTCTGCATTAAGTCCTTGTGTTTCTGGGGCTGTGGCCGTGCTCCAAACTTAACTCTGATTTTCAGGGAGAAAGGTTGGGTGGTTTACTTCCCATTGATCACTTTGTATGTAGAGAGATGTCGCGTGGCCGCTTATGCGGCCGCACGGTTTTGAGAAAAAGTCCTAGTTCCCGCATACTCAAGCTGTGCTTGTAGAGGCTTCTTGTCACCGGGGTTCCATCTGGGGGAGGCGGGATGAGGTACCTACCCCATCTGGGACTTCCCGGTGATCTCGGCTCTTTTTGGAACCTTTTTTTTTTTTCTTTTCTCCAGGATCTGTGGTTCCTGCCCTCCATGTGGTCCTTCTCTTGGGCTGTATGTTGTAAAGATGGCGCTGGGGGGCGGGCTGTGGGCGTGACTTCCGGAATCAGAGGTTACCTGGGAGCTGTAGTCCCAGCAGATTTGAATAAAAGTCCTAGTTCCCGCATACTCGAGCTGTGCTTGTAGAGGCTTCTGGTCACCGGGGTTCCATCTGGGGGAGGCGGGATGCGGTACCTACCCCATCTGGGACTTCCCGGTGATCTCGGCTCTTTTTGGAACCTGTTTTTTATTTTTTTTTTCCTCCAGGATCTGTGGTTCCTGCCCTCCATGTGGTCCTTCTCTTGGGCTGTATGTTGTAAAGATCCATTTTCATTATGTTTTAATCTTAAATTTTATTTAAATACATGGATAGATATCACAGCTCTCCACTGGCATAGAATAACTTCCTTCAACCTTCACTTTCTATCTGTGTGTCTTCTAAAACTGAAATCTCTGGAGGCAACATATAGGTTTGCTTATTTTCCACTGAGTGATCTTAATATCTTTTGATTGGAGAATTTTGTCAATATTCTCTTATCCACTACAAAGTGATTAATAATTTTTGGTTGTGGTGTGGATCCTCTGTCCATTTTTCTTCTTTTGCTCTTCCTTTATAATTTGATAAGTCTCTGTAGTGGTATGCTTAGATTCCTTTCCCCTGAAAGTTTCTATATCTACTATAGCATTTTGTCTTATTTTCATGAGGCTTATGTAAAAGTTTTAAGTATAACTTATGTTGTTAATAACAAGTTTGTATATATTCTAAAGTATACAATTTTCTCCTCTATCACACATTTAGTTTTATCACACATAATTTTCATCCCTCAACCTTGGATATCCCCTAAACATTTCTACAGTAAATTATTCCTTTTTTGTATTTTATGCCTTTATACTAGCTTATGTGATTAATCCACCACCTTCACATTTAGTTTCACTTTTTTTCTCACTTTTACTACTGATTTATACTTCAAGATTTTCCTATTGCTAGTAAGTGTCCATTTGCTTCACCTTTAAAAAAATTCTTTAATATTTGTCATATTAGTGGCAGTGAAACACTTCACCTTTTGCTCATCTAAATTCTACCCCAGGGATTTTGCCTGTAGAGTGCCCTGGCATTACCTGAGGGTACAGAAAAAGTGTACTTCCCTTTTTCTAGGCCCAAGTGGAAATAGGAAGACTATTTCCACTTGGGCCTAGAAGGTGAGCTAACAGTCAAAAACAAAACAAACACAAAACTCTATCTTCTTTTTAATTATGGTGAAAAGTTTTCATGTAGTGAATTTTTGTTTTTTCACGACTTTTACTATATCATTGTCCATTCCTTACTGATTGTAAAAGTTTTGTTGTAAATACCTGATCATTTTTATAGGAGGTACAAGGAAGATTCCCTTAATCTAACACATAGCAAATTGTTTTTCTCTCACTTAATTTCCACCTTGTCTTTAACTCTTGACACTTTAATTGTTATGTGTCAGTGCGTGGATCACTTGGGTTCATTTTACATGAAAATCTCTGAATATGCATGTTTGTTTCCTTCCCAAGTTAGGGAAGTATTTTTAGCCACTATTTCTTCAAATTAGTCTTGTGTTTCACACTCTTTTCACCTACCAGTGCCAAATAAGAAAAACAGTGTTCTGCTTTTGATAGTCCAGAAATCCCTTCAATTATTCTCATGTATTTCATTATTCTTTTATTTTTCTTTTTTGCTGCCACTTGGGTGAGTCCAGTGCCCTCTCTTCAACTTGGCTGATATTTTCTTTAGCTTCATCTAATGTGCTGTACAGCACTTCAGTGTATTTTTCAGTATTAACTAAAATTTTTGATTTCATGGATCCTATTTAGTACTTTTGACTATTTTCTTTCTTTTATGAAAATCTCACTTTTTTCATTCATTATTCTCTGAGTTGGTAAACAGATTTATGACCATTGTTTGAATTTCTTATCAGGTAAATCAGTAGTTTATACGTTCATTGGGATCCACTTTTTTCTTTTCTATTTTTTATCTCGCTCTTTTATTTGGAACACATTGATGTTTCTTTATTTCCCTTGACTACATACATGTTGTTGTTTATGTCCCCATACATTGGAGAGAACAGTCGGCTGGCTTCCCAGGTCTTGAATTAGTTAGGGGACTCATATTAATTAACCTTATTGTCTTATTCTGTCCTCTTAGTTGTCTTTGGAATCTTGCAGTTGTCCCAACAGACTCTATTTATTGCTCCCCGTAGTGGAAGGTGTGCCAAAGCCTGTCTGTCAATATCCCAATATTGATGTCAATATTGATATTGACATCTCAGTCAACATTCAGATTCAAACTGATTCAAAGTCAGGACCTCAGGGTGCATCTTTTATTCTAAAATATGCAAATATATACTGTTCAAAGAGACCACTAACATAAGACTACAGGCCACTAGAGTCAGGTTATACATAACTTTCTCCTGGGTAACTGCCCCCCAATCTGTACTCTGTCTCTTAGTGTTTTGGTTTTATTATGGAAGATTCCAGTGGCAGGGCTGAGGGACAGGGAGAACACAAAGAGGGTGTCCATTGATCCCCCTTCTTAGAGAATGTATCCTTCAAGTGTGACATAAACCAGAAGCCTACCCCTCAAGTCAAACTCCAGGACAAGGAACTAGACCTCAAAAAACCTGGTACTGTATTTTAGTCAACATTCTGTCCTATGCCTTGGGTTGGTCTCTCTGAGCAATAGAATCAGGAGATCTAGGGACATTATGTGGGCAGCAGTTGCAAAACTAGGTCACCAAATGTTCATAAAAGCAATTTTCTGGATGATAGTGGAAGCACCACTACCAGAAAGTGTGAAGATAAGTCCCCATCTTCTGAGCTATCTGGAGAGAGCTGCAGTTGACCCTTAGGTGTCTATTTAATTAGAAGTTTGACCTCAAACCGCAACTAACAAGATAAGCAAATAGGCAACACTCAGAGAGAGACCAGTGCTTCAGTCAGTCCTCTCTTGCTTAACCCTTGCACGAGCAGCTGCTGAGCACTTTTTCTGTTTATTACAGTGATTTGGAGCTCCCAGGGAAATCCCTGATGCCACCAGATGCTATTTTATAGGTTTTATACCTAAAGTGGAAGGCACAAAAAATATAATTGCACTTGATGAGAATTCAAGTGCACCTTTCTCAGAGTTACCTTTGAGGCAGAAAGGGACTACAAAGAGGGTGCCTGCTGGACTCCATTCTCCAAAAGTATTTCTCAGACCCAGAGATGACAAATGTGTTGAAATGGGTAACTTTCCCTCAGGCCAGTGCTCTAAGGGAAGGAAACATGTTCTCCTCTTCACAGAAAATCTGGGCACTTTGCAGCTGGCTACCTCTGCTCTAAGCCCAGGGGTGAGTGACTCTATACAGGAGCACTTTAGAAAACAATTCTCAGTTTGTGAGTTAGCCGTAAGTAGTTTACATTTATTAATACCAGTGGCTTTCAAACCTAGTTGTTTAGGGGGACTGCATCTCTGGTGCTTATCTTAAAAAATCTGGGATGCTGTATGTGAAATTCTCATGTGTCTTCATTAAGAATATCGAGATTTTGAGTTACATCCCAGTTTGCAGCCAATACACAAAAGGGTCAAGTTGAATTTTACACTGAAATTGTACAAACATGTCATTTTAGTAAATTAAATTCAAAACTATAGATTTAAGAAAAATGGAAAGTCCTGATGACACCGAATACCCATTTTGTAATGTGAAAATTATAGTAAATTTCAAGATTCTTATCACAGGAATTTTAATTGAAAAACGAATTTTCTTTGACTCAAACCTTACACTCTTTAGAGTTTTAATCCATGTTTTAGGTGAGGCACTATGCTAATCAGCAAATATCATTAATCATTTATCTGAATAACTGTTATTTTACAATGAGTGTGTTTAGTAATTTTGTTCCTATAGAGTCAGACCCGCTCGAGCAAAATCGATGAACGGGAGGAGAGTGCTACAGTGCTACAGAGTCAGGCATATGGCTAGTAAGTCCAATAAATAAAACATCTGACCTTGTACATTACACTCAAGAAACAGAGTATGAAAATAACAAAAGGCTAAAGGGAACAGAACCTAAGCTTACAACACTCAGGGGCTGAGGGCTGGGGGGGGAGTTGACTTTACTGAATAGTAAAATTTAAAATTAAATTAAAATTTAAGTAAAATTTAGTTACCCGGTAACTAAAATTTAAAATACTTTAACTATCAAGATATTTTTAAAAAGATTACACAGAGTGTTCTAGTTCAGGTCAGACCTCATCAGGCCCATTCTATATAACTGCAATAGATTGCTGTTTATGCATTTTTGGGCTTCTGAACTTGCTGAAATAATTTTGCTAACTTTTTTTTTTCAATTTTGGGCGATGCTGGGCAGTGCTCAGGTATTACTCTTGGCTCTGCATTCAGATATCACTCCTGGCAGGCTTGAAGGGCTATAGGGATGGAAGAGATGTAATGTAATCCCAGGTTGACCACATGCAAGATAAGCATCCTGCCTGCTGTACTTTCTCTCAGCCCCAGTGAGACGTCCTAACTTTTTCATTAACTGAAATATCAAAGGAAAAATTAGAATTCAACAAGGACAAGAAAATACGTGGCTACAGATTAAGAGGAAAATGCCTAGGCAACAGTTCTGTAGAGTTGTGAAACATACAAACAACTCTTGTGATGGCATTAGAACCATTAAGACAGGGATTTGAAAAGCAAACTTACAAAGAAAATTTACTAAATTAGCTTAGAACTCAAACTCTATTTTTGGCTACTTAAAGAGCAAGTTGCTGAAGTTGACTAGAAAGATCTTTTCCTGATTTCACACTGCCAGCATCACTATAAATGTGACAAACTCAAGAGATTTTACTACAGAGATAAACTGTGATTGTTACTTTGCTCTTAAGATATTTAATCTGAAGCATGAAACAAGTATTGGTTAAACACTGATAGTGATTCTCTGATTCCCATAATTAAATACTTTCTATAGCAAAGTAACAACAAAACTTTAAAAGTTATTCAATGTCAGGCTCACTTTTCAGGCTTAGTATACATTATAAACTCGGGAATTTCTGATGAAAACCATTAAAGTTAATGGTCTGATTTAATCTATTTTTTTCATAATAGAAATTGGAAGAAGGTTAAATGACTTACCTAAGGTTAAAGGTTATCCAATTAATAAGGTATTGCCAGAATTTGAACCAGGACTGGAAAACTAAGCTTACCGCCATTTTCTATACATCTCTGAAATAAACAGTGACAACATTTATATGTAGTATAAATCACGATATTATTTACTTACATAAGGTACTGTGGTTAGTACTGTAGATAATAAACAATGCAAAAATGCTCATACCATGTTAAATAGCTTAAAAAAAGGTTAATGTGGATTTGACAAAAAAATAAGTAGCATATGTATTTTTAAACTTTTATGCTTTTGAGAAATTGAAGGTGATCTAAAGTTGCTGAAAGATTAAACATTTTATGCAAATAGGTAGCAATTCTTGGTATCCTTGAAAAACTACATTTGATCTTGCTTAATTATTATTACTTGGGGGAGGATAGGGAAAACTCACAAATGGTCTCTGGAGGCTCAAGGGTCCCACAGTAGATTCTTGGCCAGCCATGTCCGTGGCTCAGTACAAGAGGCTGATGGACTGCTCAGGTCCTCTATTGCCGAGAATTATGCCAGAGGGCCTCTAGTGCAGAATGCATGTGCTGTCAGGAATCAAATCCAGGCTGGGTGATTTCTAGGTAGGTTTATGTCCTAACCTCGTACAATCTCCTATCCCCAAATCTACCTCTTTGTGTCTCGTTTAATCTCATCTCCTACTGCATTCAGGAAGCGTTCTATTTAGGATATTTTTCAGTAAGCACTCGAATTGGAATGAATTAGATTGATATAAAAGAAATCATGCTAGGACATGAGTGATATTACAGCTTGCCTTGCACAAAGCCAACCCTATTTTGATCCAGGATATCTCTTATGGTTCTCTGAGCACTATTAGGATTGAACCCTGAACACAAAGTCAGGAGTAAGCCCTGAGTACTGCTGGTTGTGATCCAAAACAAACAAAATGAAAATACTCAATTAGTCTAAAAAGCATACTTTGTATACTATAGTGAGATGGCTATCTTCACTGTAGAGTGTTTCCATTTTTTTTGTTTGTTTTTGAAGTGTACTCAAGTACACAAGAGGTGTTTTAAAAACCAGAACAGTTTGAGG